CTAACGCTTATGTCGAACTAGAAAATGCGATTTCGTAAATTCATTATTTACAGTATGATATAAGTGCTTTCTGCAATCTAGACATATATATATTTTCCTAGATACATTAATTTACGTATATAAATCTCGATACGTCTAACGGGATTATCAAGCATTATACAAACGATGTCAGTCTTATCCAAAGAAAGTACGGTGAAAATTATATAAATTCATCGGTACTTACAATTATACTACTTAATCGGCTATTACTACGCTCCGTCTATTACCATTCCCAATGTAAAGACCGGAGGTTGATAAGAACAGTTGGAGAGAAATCGTGCATAGTTTTCTTTCAGTAACACATTTAATTTCTTAGTAAAATCGATACATTTTTACAAGGCAACTTATCATACAAATACTTAACAAAGTAATCCAGACAATAAACATTGTAGGAGAATGCAATAATTTTCAATTTATGCCGGCGGTATCCTATTCGATCGATTATACGGTCATCCTTCATAGAATTTACTTCTTTGCGTGAGCTCGAATTGCGATAACAATCTCCTTGTTTCTTTCCTTGCAAATTACTTTTAATTATATATATAAAAGAAGAAACGAAAAATATGTAGATAATTATCTTCTATAATTTTGCCAGAGATTATAAATACATTATTTTACGTTAAAAATCATATTTGTTTGTACGTCCTTCTAACATGTTTGATTTGCTTGCGAGGGAATATTTTATTTGATGGGAATTTTTACGATGTATATTACGCACTCGTGAGAATATTGAATGGAACGCGATGAAATTTGTCATGAACATGTCCATCTCGATCACATATATACAATATATCGAAATTGCAATATTCGTATATTAATCAATGTATAACAATAATTTATTCCACAAAATATGATGAATTATCACTTTATTTTGTCAATATGATATACTGAATTTCTCTAGCATCTTCATAGTGGAAAATGAATGTAACAAAATTTTTTTTATTTAACGGTAGTTTTCTTCAGAACACGAACATTTTTAACCGACTATCTTAGTTCTTTTATTAAATAAACAAACATCAGCATCGATTTGGCACTGTTCATGTTGGATACTTCGATCTATCTGATATGATTGCACAGAACCGTCGTTGCTTTCGTCAAAGGGAAGCAAAAAATACTAGGTAATGCATCGGTGATTGATTATCGAGTTCGTTATCGACAATTATTTTTCGAGCGTTTTGCAAAGTTCTAGGCGGTACGATTAAAAGCTATAATTTCTACAACATCGTGTAAGCAAAATAATGAAATAATCTTTCGCTCGAATGCGCACTAATCGATCGCAATGCCCGCGTACATAAATCCAAATTGCCCTCATTAACAAACATAACAAAAAAGAAAAGGAAAAACATTAAAAATAAAGCATCTGAGGGGACGTGTAACATTGTCATAATACAAAAGATTCAGCAGCAGATACGCGTTTCGCGAGCCCGCCCAAAACGTCACGCGACGCGGCGCTTGATTGATCAATTAACCGATTATCAATTATAAATTATCCGGTCGTCAGGCCCCGCTCCTCCCCGCGACGTGACGAACGTTCACCCGGCAAAACGAGAAAATGTCTTCCGTCGAATTATCCTCTCGAGAACATCGAGAGAGACTTCAAGAGTCGAAATTAAATGCAGACGGGATTACGGGGTTAACGGGTAATTAACGCGTGCACTCGCATACACAATTACATCCATGCGCACACATGCACACATATATATACGCGCTTACAGTCCGCGATATCGGCAGAATCATCCGTCCGAATGAATGACGTATGCGCAAATTCCTAATGCCTCGATGAGTTTAATTATTTACAGGAGAGTCTTCTATGTCATACATGTGTATGCGCGCGCGAGCGCGCGCGGGTGTGTTGTGCGCGTGAGGTGTTTTGTGTGTGTGTGTGTGTGTGTGTGTGTGTGTGTGTCAAGTTTTCTTAATTCACATTATACATAATACATATAGACTTAGATTATTAATAGTACCATACGCGAAAGCAAGCCCAAACGGCACTGAACCTCGTAAAATTTCATCGGTGATTGCCAAACGTTTACGGCATGCTCGCACAAAAATAACAGACATACACACATACACACCTCGCATACTCTCTCGCTCTTTACGCTTGTCTTTCCTTCTATATGCGTGTGATTTATTCCTTAACCCTGCAGAGATTTACACTCAGGACAAGTACATGCAAATATCAATTTCGTGTTTTAAATTATTCAGCGACAAATCTGTCAAGCCTCACAACGCAGATATGTATGTCTTGTTAATTAAAGTTTGGCCGTGTCGATTTGAAATTACTTATAACTTGAAACGCGAAAGCTATGCAATTCTGCAATGTTTTACTTTGTCAATGTTCGGCAAATAATAATATTTAGTATTACAATTGTAAAAAATAAAAAATATTTCTTTAATGTTTTTTGAAAATAATAAAACAATGTTTGCAATAATCGTGTAAAGTTACTGATATATATACATATATATATATATATATATATGTATATATATATACTACAAATATGCAATGTATATATAAAAAATCATGATGATAATAGAATTGCAGACAATTTATAGAAAAAATTTATTACATGTGCATATCTAGTCAATTTGACTGTCGAAAGTTTCAAATTCAAATATAAAATTTATAATATTTGTATCATATTAATATTGTATCTTCTTACTTTATTTGATTGTTTTTACTGAAATACTTTAATTCGTATTTTCTTGTGATTATAATTCAATTTCTCGAAATAAGAAAACGACACCTGCTTAAACTGATGAATAGAGATATAATATATTTATTCATCAATAAAATTTAACATTTGTCTTTTCTTGTATCTTATAACAGTTATAACTAGACTGCGAAAGTTTGTGAGTTTTTTTCTAATGTAAGATCTAATGTGAGTTCTAATGTCTAAGATCCAAATTGTGGTCCGAGATGTGTTATTTTCTTCGCAATAATAATAATAAAAAATATATATATATCATCTAGATGACACAGAGAAACAACTTGTCAATTTTGTCAAATTTTCATTAAAGCAATTCTCAAAAACTGTGTTTTAACGTTATTTATTCATCTACAAAATGGCTCATTTTGAAACTTCACAAATTCTCGCATTCTACTTACAGTATAAGTGCACTGAAACATCAATTATTGCCATATGCAATAAAATTAGAATTGTTAACTGGAATTACAACTGAAACTAAGATAACTGTAATAAATAAAAGTGGAACTATAATAGATATCAAATGAAGAGGAAGATCCTTCCAAACTAATTTTTTTTAAATCCTATAAGATTTGCGACAAGAGACGCTACGAAGTTACTCTCTTCAATTCCAAACTAAATATTTCATACAAAAAAACTACTTTGCATCAAAAATTCCTTGCAAATAATTTTCCAAATTGCACATATCTGATCGTTACGATCTAATAAATAAAGTATAACTACGCTTTCCGTCTTCAGTCACTGCACAGAGAAATGACACGGGTGCTTTGTGGCAATTAAACTAGCTTCTAAGCTCGACAAATATTTCTCGTTAAATACATATGGAGACCAAAAAATACTGATGAAGAAAAACTCGAATTACTCGTGTCGGTAGACTCCGTACAATTTAAAGTGCTCGCCGTACCGATGTGAGCGCGCTTTCTATACTTGTGTGTTTCGGGATTTGGAGACCGCGCTCTTAAGAAGAAACTACTGGCCTCGATCGGTGTGCATATAATAGGACTAGGATTGGACGGGGATGGGGGAAAGTTTGATGGAAAGGACTGTCGACATCTAATTCCTTACAATTTCGATACGTATACGTATTAATATATGTGTATATGCATAGTACCTTTTTAATTTATTTATAGACTTCATGCTTAGAGAAGTAGGGAGATCATTAACGTGATATCTTGCCATCATTTTATGCAATATTTTTTTTCGACATTCGATTCAATAGCGTGACATACATTAACTGCCTGTAATTGATTGGAAACGTTGATATACAATAGACTTAGCAACCAAAAACGACTTGTAACGTATAGATATATATGTATAAGTCCCTTAATTATATGTATATATATAATTAAATATAGTGGTCTTACTATATATTCGTCACGTATCACAGAAGGAAGTGCTAATAACTATAATATAATCTTCTTGAACGCGTAATACCTAACAACTCGAAATTTTTATGTTAATTGTCCAAGACAATTGAAATACTAGCTTTCAATGCATTGAACTTGAAAAGCACCATCTCGCCACGGTGCTGAGTCTATCCTATACCTTAGAAACGATGAAGTTAAATACATATATTTATATATCGTACAAAAAAAAATTATCGAGATGCTAACGTCAAATCTGGAATTTCGTTTTGCCGTGTGGTGTACATGTATGTTAAATATAAAACGTCGCGTTAGCGATCTTCCCACTTATCCCCGTTCGCTCGAGTGTCATCGATCGTGTCGCGGAGCTACGTACACCTATAATATCGTTCTGCATCGCGGATTCCTGACCGGCTCGATCGGAAAGTAATTTGAAAGATCGTTGCACGTGCGCGTGTCGCGTATCGTAGCGCTCATTTACAAACATCGACCACTTCCTGACCGTTTTCTTTTTTTTTTCTTTGACCGTTAATTACCATTTAATGAATACGAAACTACTTACGATCAACTTCGCTAGACTATACAGAATGCTACCAAGTGTAGCGGACGGGTACGCCGGGACGCATCCGGTCTCGTCACGGATGCGATTCTTAGTTTATGATGTATTTGTGTTTTGTGTGTTGTGTGTGTGTGTGTGTGTGTATTTTGAATGTGTATGTCTGATACTGAGGCCTCTTTGAAAGATAGGAGGACCCGCTTAATCACGAATAACACAATGCTCTTCGTTCGCTGGGCGAATGCTTAAAGACTAAACTCAGTCGCTCCCGTACGTACCCACCACCACCACCACCATCACGGCTTCATCGATTTATTTCCTAGATTCAATCCCGTTGGACTGTCCGATCGATTCGCTTCTCCGGTGGAACCGCGCGTTGCTTCTTGAGAATTGTATTTTTGAAAAAGTCGAATAACAGATTAAATACATCGATAAACATGGCACGTTATTTATTTCGCATTGTATACTGTTTTCATAGTCATGTAAATTATTAGATAATCACATTTGTGATTGAAACAAAAACAATTTGACTTTTTCGAAACACAAAATATAAAGTATTGCATCGTATAGAATAGAAACAGCTTCGCGTCTTTTTAATTTATATATAATTATATAAAGTATATATATATTTTTAATCGTTTGATAAAATTACATTACTATTACTTGGTTATAACGCAAGATTTAAAAATTTTGCTAGAGTTGCCATTGTCATGTTTTGTTTCTATAGCACGAAATGCATAATCGCGAAGCTGCATCGGTTCCTCCGGTGAAGGGTACTTCCTGTCGCGTTTCCGGGGCGCCCGGTAAGATCGCATGGCGCGCTTTGCACAGTGCCCTATCGTCGCTATATTAATTTCTAATTCAATGTACATGAGAGAGAGAGAGAGAGAGAGAGAGAGAGAGAGAGAGAGAGAGAGAGAGAAAGAGGGAGGAGAGGAGAGGAAAGAAGAAGAAAGAGAAAGATATATGTATATATTTATATATACGTGTCTATTAGATATAACCGCGGAACAGAAAAAAGATCGAAAGAAAAATAAAATACATCGTTGTTCGCAATTGCTTGAGTAAGGATATGGATCGAAGGATCGCTCCCGAATATCGCCGAGATTACGACGCTATCAGCATCAGATGTCCACGCTGACATCATCGGTAGTACCGCTCACCATCGTCGTCGCTTAACCGATAGTGTCCTTTTTTCACAAATTCGATTGGCTCCTTTTTCGTTACTTTAAAGCCGCCTTTTAGAACGTCGCGGCATCAGATATGATACGTTGAGGGGTAACTCGTACGAAGGAGGAGTGTGGAGGAGGTGGGTGGTCCTGGAGGGCCTTCGTCGTCCTCTTGAGAATCTCTGCTTCTGTTACTCGCACCCCGTTCTCTCTTCCGCTCTTTTACGTTCGTTCTCTACTCTACCCTGGTCAACGTAAAAGAACTCCTCTCTTCGTGTGGCCGAACAAACGGGACACATCCTGTATACATCTCGTTTTTTTATCGGTTCATTATGACGGGGCGATACTACGCCTCGACTTGATCTTCCGGGATCATTATGTCGGGCGCCATCGACAGGTCCTCCGCTATATCCTCGTCCTGACCGGAGTCGTGGCCGTGGCTCTCAGAGTATTCTCTTTCGTCCGTCTGATCCTCCTCCGTCTCTTGCTCCATGGGGCCGTCCGGTAGTTCGCGCTTTATTAATCTCGGGTGCTTCCCTCCTTCCGGACTCTGGCTCTCCTGCTTTATGTGCACGGCCGGTTCATCCAGCGGCGACCTGTTGAATCGACGACACGCACGAACGTGTTGTGTACGCTTATGAGTGGAAAACTTGCGAAAGCGTTCGCCGGGTATGTGTCGGGATATATATTTCATAAAGCGCGACAGACGCAGCGGTATATTTTTTTTAGCGACACGGCTAACGGGAGAATAACGGTTTCGCTTTTCCGATATTGTTTCATTACCGCGGTTTCGTGCGGTTTGTCAAGCTGCAACGAATAGTTTGTGTTTTGCAGAAGAATCGCGCGGATAAGGGTATTTTTACGGCTTTTATGCGTGCGATCGAAATGGATCGTATATAAATCGTCCATAAATATGTCCGTGAATAAAACAAATTTCGCGATGTCGGATAAATAAAAGATTCTAGGATCGTGTTTCGGCAATATTATTATAAGCTGAATATTCCGAAAATATAGGGGCACAAATGCAGATTTGTACCGAAAAAAAGTTATTACAAGAACTCGAATAACATTGATCGATATTTGATAAAACATATTGCTTGAAGAATCTTCGAGAAATGAACGAATGACATATTTAATGATGAACTGGTCACTTACATCAAGTCATTATGAGGTAACACATGTTCCTTATCAGGACTTGTCGCTGTTGACGTGCACATTGGATTCAAAAATCCCATGTTAGATTCCCCGAGTGCCTGGAAATACTCAAATTGCATTAGATGGTTAGTTATTACTGATTTAATACCAAAATGCTAATCTCACTTAGATACTACGCATTAGTTATTTTAAGAAAGAATAATAATTGTACTTCCTGTTTATATAACTAACATAATTGTATTTCTATTTGACATAGCTAGTAATTTATCAAAAGAATATAAATAGATTCTCGTAAACTGTTAGCGAATCTTTCTAAACGAACACTAAGCGAATCTTTCAATCATTTAATTAATATGTATAAACTGTATAATATGTTTAATTAAATTATGTATACATTTAAATTTATTTATTAATTTTACATTTATTCATCTCGTTACAACATTGATTTATTTTAATGCATAGCGTATTATTCGACTAAGACAATAAATTGCAAAAGTTCATAAGAGTTTTTATATTCTAGTAGTTAATTATTAATAGTTACCTGCAGGTTGGCATTAAGCGCATCACCGTACATAGTAGGACTATGCGTCAGCGTTGGGCTCTTTGACGGTACACCCCTAGATATTGACAGAAAAAAGTATATTAATAGTATTCGAAATTCGGCTGTGAGCATATATTTCCTGAAACCAATCGCGTGTATGAGTTTTCTTTAATCGTGTCAATGGGATGGATCTGATAGAGAAGGGGGAGTATATAAAAGTTGAGTGTATGATGACCATGTATTTGTATGTTGCGTGAATTGGAGTGGTAGATATGTAGACGTATTAAAGACAAAAAGGAGAAAGATAGAGAAAGCGAGAGAAAGAGAAAGAGGTGTAAAAGTGAAAAAGAGAGAGAGAGAGAGAAAGAGACAGAGAAAGAGAGACAAAGAGAATTATATAAATATGAAAAATGTAAAATACATATAAATATCAAAAAGAGATTAAAAAAGAGCGAAAAAGTATCCAGATACTCTTACCTACTTACATGCCTCATATCGTTTTTGTCCACCGCACTCGTCTCATTGGTGATTGAGCGAGATTAGATAAAAATTACAAAGAGAATATTTAAAAAAAAGCGCTCCCGTCTCGAAACTTTATAAATAAAATATCAATTTGTTCTTTTTCTTTTTTCCATTCATTTTTAATATGTGACATTATATCAGTTTCGAAACAAACGTACTTATAAACGGTCACCAGGTTACCTGAGCTTACCATTTACTTTTGTTACTTCGCAAGTCATTTAGTAAATAAATACTTGTTTGCACAACAATCGCCTTTTTCTTCCCGACGATTTGTGAAGAGACGCTGTTCGTTGTATTTCTTGCGATTACCGTCAAATAATGGTAAATATACTTAGTCTTAGCGTATATCGTCGGAAAATTTGACGAGAGATTTAAAATGCATGCGAAAAAGATGACAAAAAAGATTTCCTGAGACCGTTTATCAAGCAACAAGGAGCGCTGAATAATGAGAAAAATAGAAAAGGTAGATGAAGATAGAGATAGAAAAGTGGAAAGTTGAGATAGAGAAAGAGAGAAAAGGAGAGAAAGAGAGAGAGAGAGAGAGAGAGAGAGAGAGAGAGAGAAGAGAGTTAAAGAGAGATTGAGTAAAAGTAGATAAAATTTTAAAAAGTATTAAAGATTAATAAGTAAAAATTTCCGAGAATTTTATCATTAAATATTACTGAAATTTTATACTGAGTCCACATGGTACCTGTGATACAAGACGAGTCGCAACGATGAAGATCGAAGAATTCCACCCGAGGTTATAATTGTAACGCATAGTATACACAATTTACACATGCGCGAGTAGCCCTGACGTACATATTCACTCAAATCATTCGCTCATTGCGGAAGCATGATGTAAGATGCTAAAGTTCATTTTGCGATTCTTAACTTTATTTGTCTTGAAATGGCATTCGTCATTTCAACTTAAAACTTTTTAAATTTGTAAAAAAGTATTTCCAAGTTTTCTTCTAGCATCAGTAATATCATATAATTTACTGAAATGTTGTTTTGTCTGAAAATTAATATTTAATATTTTTAATATTTTTCTTTCTATTTTGATATTTTCAATTGTTTAAAAATCTTTCTTTAATATTTACTTTAAATAGTCTTATTACTAACCATTAATTGAAAAGATAAGATTTTTTTATAAGACGAATTTAACAAGTTAAATTGCAAAGTTGAAGAACTTTTAGATTTGCATCCGCACATTTTGCATACTTATAGTTGAAAATCGCAACAGATTGCAAAGAAAATTGCATCAAAGAAAAATTGATGAAACAGAACTTCGCCAGAATGCTATACTGCTACGTCACTGTAGAAATCAAATAATAAAAATAACGAACGTAAAATATGACAAACCTCTATTAACGTCAATTCTACGATCAAAAGAAGAGAAAAGTAATTCTCTACTATTATGAGGGAACAAAAGAATAAACAGAACAAAGGAAGAAACGGAAGCAAAACTTGAACACAAAAGAACGCTTGCCCGCAGAAACACACCACTTTCACACGAGACGCTACGCAAATAGCATTACATTAAGCGTCATACGTTTATAAGCAGTGTTTTCAAAGTGGGTGGGATAGTTTAGAGCTTAATCAGGAAACAAACATTAGGGATTCATGGTAATCCATGCGAGCAACTAATAAACACATTGGAAATCCGGCAACTTTGGCCAATCGTCCTGTTGTTGGGGTGTTGCAGGACCGTGCAGGATTCAAGCTATCACGGAGTGCAAGAGCCTCGGGTTACAATACTAGTGACGTATACGGGGATATCCTATGAACTCTTGGACGTCATTTGCAAAAGTGTGCAAAATTTACATGTCTTTCAAAATATAAGATTTCTATATTTTTAGAGAACGAAGAAAAAAAATATCGATCTTTTATAGATATTCTTTGACCAAATTAGAACTAATGTTTTATTATTTAGACTAAAAACTTTCTTTTTTTCTAAATTCTAAACTTAACTGTTTTTGACAAATAAAATCTCTGTTCAAATTCACATTTAACATATTAAACAATAACACATAAAACAATTTATTTTATCTGTCTTTATTTTATCTTAAAATAATTGTTTCAATGTTTTGATAAAAAATAAATTTAAAATGATCAAAATATATTCAAAAATATATTTCATGAGTCTATGTAAAATTTAAATCGTATAATAAATTTTTTCTTTACAAATCTCAATATTATATTTAATTTTATTTATATTTACCAACGACATGTGTTTATAATCAAATAAATAAATTTAAAAATAAAAATCATATTTTTTAATTTTTAATAATTTTACATGTTTTATACTTATGCAATTGCCTAAATGGTTTAGACTATACGTCCTAAAAAATTGGAATAAATTGTACACTTATAACAAATGGACGAGCAAGATAATAATGGGATGATACTACTGTCCAGTTTTTAAAGGAATCGGAACTTTAAAGATGCTCGAGGCAGGCATGATGCGGAAATTATTTCCAGAGGGATTGGACAAACTGCATGGAGCTATTTCCTGCTGCCTTGGCGTAATCTGTTATTAATACTTCAAACTGTATCGCGATATAGCTTAAAAATGGAAGAAATTTTGCTATAAAGATATTTTATTGACATTTGTATTTATTGGTATAGAATTTAACTAATCTGAATTGATTCTCGCATCTATAATTGCAGCTGTTAGCATCGTAATAAATAATTAAAAAAGATATTTAATCAATAAAATTTTTATAATTTATGAAGAGAAATTTATCTATAAAAATCTTAACTGAGCGTGTTGTAATCCAAGTTGTTTGCACAAATACATTGTAAAATTAATCAAAATTAAATTAAAACATACATAGAATATAAAACATTTTTGTTTTTAAAATATTGAATAAATCAAACAAATATTTTCTAAAATTTATAATTATTTTTTAATTATACATATCTCGTTTTATTCACGTTAATCCATGTTACATACATTAAAGTTTCTTTCATTTATCTTGTACAGTTTAATATAGAAAAATGACGAAGTAGATTTGCGCTGCTTCGAAGCAAATTTTTTTTATTCCAAAGGGTATGTCGTTACGTCAATATAACAGTAACAGCTGCAACCGTGCACATCCGCGGAGCAAGTGTGCACAAAAACTTTCAAAGGCAGCAGGTTGTAAAGCCCATTTAGTGGTTCGATTTGTAGACAACGACCAAGCGAAAACGTCCCGGTCGCCGCGTTCATAAAAAAGTACCGCGGTAAGGTCAGAACGTCGCGCCAGCCAGCCAGCAGAATTCTAAAAAGTGGTAGTGCTTACTGTGCGGAGAGGTGGGGTGGAGTGGGTGATGGGGTTGGGTCATATTTCCTGGGGCGGCCGCGGGACAGATGCCGCCGCTTTACGAACTCGGCGTCGTCCACCATCCAGAATGACCCGAAGTCGTCCTCATAGCGCACAAAACACTTGTGCAATGATAGATTGGTGCGGATCGCGTTCTGTATACACAGACAAGACCACCAAGAAATAGAGAAAAAGAGAGTAAAAAAGATAAGGTTTCTGGTTGATTTTTTTTGTAGTTGATTGCGCATTTTTTCGCTTTTCTTTCTTTCTTTCTTTCTTAATTTTGCGCTCGGCCCGCTCGCCGTTCGCTACCCTTCGTACGGGGGATGTAGGGCCTCACTATTGCGCGGGGCCGGTTTTTGTGCTTGCCGTCACGTTTTGCGGGACCCAGACGTACCAGCGGCACGCTGGCACGCCCCTCGCCGACGGCTCCGTGTCGCTCTTATCGTGTTGCCGGGACACACGAATGATCTCGGCACGATCTCGGAAACGTCGACTTTTTCAGAGAGAGCAAACAACAGCACAGATTCGCAAAAAGAAGGGATGGACAAATCAAAGAAAAATAAAACAGAGACGCAGAGTAATAAAATGTAGTAAGGCGGCTTCCTCTCACTACCTGACAAAGTGCAACACTGCGGTTCTCACTCTGTGTTCCGGGGGTAATTCCGCTTCCGGGCTTCCGGGCTTTTCGAGACTAGACTTGGGCCAAGATACTCGGACCCGCCGTTCTCGATCGGGTTAGTCGCTGCAAAGCTCACATGCTCGTTATGAAAGCACACATGACGTACTACGGATTCTCATCTCCGAGAACATGATTAGCATCTCTAAACTCTCTTTCTATCTGTGTTTTTTTTTTCCTTTCATCTGTTGTGGCTCTTTCATCGGCGACGCACTCTCACGCAACATCCACGCACCCACCAGACTGCCGACTACCATCACACGACGACGGGCAAGTAAGAAGTTCACACACACGCGGGTTCAAACACAGTGATAACGGTAGTTTCTCGAGTATTTCAGTCTGCGTAAATATAAACTTATTTTGTTCGGTTATATATGAATTTATTTATAAAGATGTGAAACTTTCCATCTGTTGTTTCGTTTTCCCAATTGAAAATAGAAATATCTAATTGTAAGTAAGGGACTCGAATAAGGCGCGTCTTTCAATTTTGAAAACTTTCGAACTTTTCATCGCGAATATAATAACTCTGTTTGTGAATTATATAATAACGGCACCTCGAGAAACTGTATATTAGCAGCAAACATACAGACAGACGACACAAGCGACGTATAGTAAAGACTGTTATGGCATTTTAGGTGTATAAAAAGGTTTATACACACACAGATCTATACGTATGAATGCGCACGTATCAAGTACAAACAGGTACAGTATACTATGAAGAGAGATGTAAAACAGGGAACACGACGTAGACATTTTGTGTAGGCGATCAAATATATGATTAAAATAAGAGAAGTAGAGAGAAATGCACAGGAGAGCGTGCGTGTATGTGCGTATACATACATACGAAGGCCACAAACGCACTGATACGTGCGTTCGCCTTTAAGTCGCATATATAGAAATATATATATAATATATAAAACAGATATATATATTAAAAATACATATATGTAAAAAGAGCTATATATATATATATACGTATAAGATAGAATATTAAATATTCTTAATATATATATAAATATGTGTAGATAAATATATATAAATATTGATATATGAAAATATGT